AGCAGTTTTCACAAAGAATGGGGAATTTTTCCGCCAGTAAAATGCTTTCGGTTCGCTCTATAGCAATGGATCTGCAAAAAAAGACGAGCAGCAGCTGTGAAGCTCAAATTTTGAACGGATTCCTCAACGGAAAGCCTGAACCTATCGATATATGCAGCTATCTATTACAGGTCGCTGTCGAGGGATGAATTCATGCAAAGTTGTACGTACAGCCAAATGAGTGTGGCGAGATCCGAAACGAGAAGAATGGAGAAGTTGCGCTGCAGCAATGACGGGAAGGAGCACAGTGGTCAATAAAATAGCAAAATTCTCAAAAAACAAAAAATATCTTTTTTTGAACATAACACAGAAGTACCATTTTCAGCTGCAGAAAAAAAAATAGACAAACTGCACAAATGTCAAAAAATGGTGTGTACTTACATCATCAGCACAGGCCGTGGATTTCTCATCCTTGTTGCGAGAGCGTAGCGAGTCAGACGATTCAGTGGATGATGTCGATGGGCTTACATCAAATTGATCACGTTTCTTGAAAGCATGCAACATTCCTGGGAAAAAAAAATCGCACTGATTTATCGGGAAAAGTTAAACCACTTAAGTTAAGCTACCTATAATTTATAGCGAAAATTTTACTTTATATTGGTCCACGTAGTACTTTCTAGTTGACATGAGAATACGTAAAGTGGATTAAAATTCTACAAAACACAACTGAGTAAAAAAAAAAAACAAACCTTCAAATGTTCTGAGTTGCTCGACGAAGCCAAGATTTGGTGTAATGCAACCACGTTTATTTTTTACATGTTCCATGGCTTCCGATAGTGCCCAGCCATATTCCTGAAAACGCAAAAAAGTACCTCAAAATCTGTGCAAGCACGGAAACTCGAGAAAAAACGAGTGAAAAAAATAAGTTACAACAAGAAAGTAAGTTACAATAAGTTAAAAATAAGTCAAATAAGCCATTTCGTATTCACCCAATATGAAGGGTGGGGGAATACAAGAGTAGCCCGAATGGTAGAATGTGCCAAATGCAACCACACGCTGGCAAAGATGTCAACAACTTCCTCTTTTGAAGGTTGCTCAGAAGCAAGCTGATGGCGAGTTCGACTTCCTGGCATTCCCCAGTACCAGTTTACCATTAAAATGAATGGACAAAACTTTGTGGGACCGGATGTTCCAAGATTTTCCCAGTTTTCATCAAAAAACAGCGCAAAAAATATATATGGCACAGTATAAATCAAACATAAAAACCTAGCATAGAGTACCTTCATTGCGAAAGCAATCACAGTTGACGAAGATCGACTGATACCTTTTTTACAGTGAACCAG